AGAAACATTCGGCTTTAGCCGCACGTCTTTCAAGACGGCTAAACCCGAATGATTCTAGTTCTAGGTCTTGTGTTAGTTCTAGTGATGGTGCTAGTATAAAATTGGAACGAAGACTACACTGAGAACTAGGAACATTCGGATTTAGCCGCACGTCTCGTAAGACGGCTAAACCCGAATGATTCTAGTTCTAGGTCTTGTGTTAGTTTTAGTGATAATGCTAGTGCAAAACTAGAACTAACAATAGACTGAGAACTAGAAACATTTGGATTTAGCCGCACGTCTTTCAAGACGGCTAAACCCGAATGATTCTAGTTCGATGTCTTGTGTTAGTTCTAGTAATAGTACTAGTGTAAAACTAGAACTAACACTAGACTGAGAACTAGAAACATTCGGGTTTAGCCGCACGTCTCATAAGACGGCTAAACCCGAATGATTCTAGTTCTAGGTCTTGTGTTAATTCTAGTGATAGTGTAAAACTAGAACTAACACTAGACTGAAAACTAGAAACATTCGGGTTTAGCCGCACGTCTCGTAAGACGGCTAAACCCGAATGATTCTAGTTCTAGGTCTTGTGTTAGTTCTAGTGATAGTGCTAGTGTAAAACTAGAACTAACACTAGACTGAGAACTAGAAACATACGGATTTAGGGGCACGTCTTTCAAGATAGCTAAACCCGAATGATTCTAGTTCTAGTGTTAGTTCTTGTGATAGTGTAAAACTAGAACTAACACTAGACTGAGAACTAGAATCATTCGGATTTAGCTACACGTCTATCAAGACTGCTAAACCCGAATGATTCTAGTTCTAGGTCTTGTGTTAGTTCTAGTGATAGTGCTAGCGTAAAACTAGAACTAACACTACACTGAGTACTAGAAACATTCGGGTTTAGCAGCACGTTTCGTAAAACGGCTAAACTCGAATTAGACCTAGAACTAGAAAGTTTCGGGTTTAGCCATGCGTCTGAAGATTGAGAGGTACCAAGGATGATATTGAGGGATAATGTTAAAAGTTATGGGCGACACTATTCAGGGATAATTGAAGCGTAACAGCGATCACCAGGATCATCAGGAACAACATACAGTACTGTACGGATAAGATTGGCATACACCAAAGACGATATTAAGGGATATTCAGGATGATGTTGTAAGTTGGTAAAGACATCATTGAGGTAAGATATTGAGAGATGACTTGGAACTTGTTGTTTGGGTTGAAAGAACCTGGATTCAAATATATCCAGAACTGTCAAGAACAACATTGAGTGCTTTCCAGGATGATGTTGACGTGTTCCAGGAATGATATTGAAGGATGTTTTAGGCTTTGTGTGGAGTGTGCCAGGGACTATATTAAGTTATGTTCAGGTTGAGGTTGAATGTTGTTAGAGACATTGAGCGATAAAATCGAAAATGTCAGTGATCATTAAGGCGTCTGAAGACGCACGGCTAAATCCGAAACTTTCTAGTTCTAGATCTAGTGTTAGTTCTAGTTTTAGTTCATTAAAAATATACAACATAATGATATTTTATGCTAACTAGCGCTACCTACCAGCTATATTAAGAGAGGTACAGCTAAATGGAATGTTTCTAGTTCGAGGTCTAGTGTTAGTTCTAGTGCTAGTATTAGTCTAGTTTTATTAGTTATTCAGCGCTAGATCATTGTATATTTTTATTGAGCTATAACCGACACGGTATTAATCCGTTATATTGAGATTTTAGTATAATGTCAAATTATATTGACATGTTACATTTTATGTGTGACAAAATAAGTAGTTATACCCTTTGGTAATTAATAAATAAGTAATTAATCTCGTAACTACAGTTTACTTAAAATTTTGTCTGGTTTTAAAACTCATTTAAAAATTGCATTGTGTAAACGTGAGTTTTCATTTTACTCTTCCGAATTAAAAAATAGAGTATAACAGAAATCAATGAATTTAACTAATAATTTTTGTAATTTAATTTAAGCATTTGTAATATACAACTTTTTGTCATTGTGCTACGAGTACTTGGGAGGAGAAGGAAACATAATGTCGGAGATTCGAGGAAAACCGATTAAATCGAGTTGTTTATATGGTACTTGTTGTTTAACCGGAAAAACGTACACAATCGGATTTTTAAGGTTTTGCAAACAGGCCACGTTACAATTTTGCCTTGTTAAACCATTAATGGCTTTTATTACCATTTTTTTACAAGCATTCGGACATTACCGCGATGGGGATTGGAGCCCAAACGGTGGTTATTTATACATCATTATCATTTATAACATTTCGATTTCGTTGGCTTTGTACGGATTATTTTTATTTTATTTTGCAACGAGGGATTTATTGACCAGATTTGAACCGGTATTGAAATTTTGCACGGTTAAATCAGTTATTTTCTTATCATTTTGGCAAGGTAAGGCGATTTTTAAATCGATTAATGCCGTTTTATGATTTTATTTTCGTCTTAGGTGTTGGTTTAGCGATTTTAGAAAAGGCTGAAATTATTTCTCCGATTATCGATAGTAATGGAACCCCAACATCCGCTGGTACGGTTTCGGCGGGATATCAAAATTTCTTGATCTGTATTGAAATGTTTTTCGCCGCAATCGCCTTGAAGTATGCGTTCCCGTACAAAATATACGCTCAGGGATGTATTTCGGATTCAAGGGGGCGCTCTGTTACCATGCAAAGCATCTCTAGTAGCCTAAAAGTAATTGTTGGGGTAAAAATTTAATTTTTTGAGTGATTTTTGTGATTTTTTTAGGAAACTATGAACCCTCGAGATATTATGACCGATGCGATTCATAATTTCCATCCGCAATATCAACAATACACCCAATACAGCTCAGGTAAAGCTAAAAACAAATCAATTTTATTAATCATGATCACTTTGCTTCTTATTTTGATTAGATAGCACGCTTATCTATGTATTGTTATAATTTTTTTTCAACACCACTTCAATCATCATCATTAATACAAATATTAATAATAATCTTGATGATAATAATTATTAAATTCATAAAGTCGTAATTAACATAAAAAAAAGCTTAAACCTAAAAGTTTTTCATTTTTAGTTTTATTTTTTAACCTTCGAGCGGGCGCGTGTCATAAATTTTATGATATCAGGTCCGTATTAATAAAAATTACGTTATTTTCAATGAAACACATTTTGCTAGAGCAAAAATATTTAATTTATATTAAACAATTGTTAAAAAGATAAAATGAAATCGATTAGTTTTTGAAATCTAACAACTTTTACAAACTACATAGCGGGAATTTCATATAATTCGCAATATATGAATGCAGTAACCATAGTTACGAATCTACTGTGCCACATAAAATGCAACATAGCTTAATAGTACGTCCTTATGACAATCATGAGTTTTCGTCCTTCTTAAGATACGCACGGCTAAACCCGAATTTTTGTAATTCTGAGTCTAGTGTTAGTTCTAGTTTTAGTTCAATCAGAATATGCAATATAGTGATATCTTATGTCAACTAGCACCAAGGTTTATATATAAAAGGTTGTCTAGGTTCGTACGCAACCATACTTGCGCATTACGTCACATGTGGAAAATAATACCGCCAAGGACCATGAAGATTGCTCTTGCCCCTCGCCCACAAACTAAAATCAAAGTATTGCAGCATAGGAACTTAGATAACCTTTAATATATACTACCTACCACTGTCACTAGAACTAACATTAGAACTAGAAACATTCATTCAGAAGGTTTAGCCGTTTTAAGCCTTTGAATATATTGAATATTTCCACTCACGAAAAACCGAAAACATTGAAAAGGTGAAAATAATTTCAATTCTGACAAAATTGTCATTACGGACCTGTTAAAGGTAGCACTGGGGAATCTGACCATGCTGCAGAAAAACTTTTCGAACTAAACTTGTAGCAAACTTCATTCTTAACAAAATTACTCTATTGCACTTTTGCTCTCAGACGTATAGATATCGAGAAAAATACGAATATATCAAAATTTCATGAATTCGTTGTTTTTTCAAACAGTTGATGGTAGTACTGGGGAATCTGAGTATGTTGCAGAAAAACTTTTCAACCAAACTTGTAGCAAATTTCATTCTTAACAAAATTGCTGTCTTGCGCTTTTGCTCTCAGATGCATAGATATCGAGAAAAATATGAAAATTTCATGAATTCGTTGTTTTTTCAAACTGTTGATGCTAGCTAGCACTGGGGAATCTGAGCATGCTGCAGAAAAACTTTTTGAACGAAACTTGTAGCAAATTTCATTCTTAACAAAATTGCTCTATATCATTTTTGCTCTCAGACGCATAGATATCGAAAAAAATACGAAAATATGAAAATTTCATGAATTCGTTGTTTTTTCAAACTATTGATGGCAGCACTGGGGAATCTGAGCATGCTGCAGAAAAACTTTTCGAAGCAAACTTGTAGCAAATTTCATTCTTAACCAAATTGCTGTATTGCACTTTTGCTCTCAGATTCATAGATATCGAGGAAAATACGAAAATATGAAAATTTCATGAATTCGTTATTTTTCAAATTATTGATGGTAGCATTGGGGAATCTAAGCACGCTGCAAAAAAACTTTTTGAACCAAACTTGTAGCAAATTTCATTATTACCAAAATTGCTCTCTTGCACTTTTGTTCTCACAGGCATAGATATCGAGAAAAATATGAAAATATGAAAATTCCATGAATTCGTTGTTTTTTCAAACAATTGATGGTAGCACTGGAGAATCTGAGCATAATGCAGAAAAACTTTTCGAACCAAGCTTGTAGCAAATTTCATTCTTAACAAAATTGCTGTCTTGCACTTTTGCTCTCAGACGCATAGATACCGAGAAAAATACGCATATATGAAAATTTCATTAATTCGTTGTTTTTTCAAACTATGGCAGCACTGGGGAGACTGGGCATGCTACAGAAAAACTTCTCGAACGAAACTTGTAGCAAATTTTATTCTTAACAATATTGCTCTATTGCACTTTTGCTCTCAGACACATAGATATCAAGAGAATATGAAAATTTCATGAATTCGTTGTTTTTCAAACTGTTGATGCTAGCTAGCACTGGAGAATCTCAGCATGCTGCAGAAAAATGTTTGGAATCAAACTTGTAGCAAATTGCATTCTTAACAAAATTGCTCTATTGTACTTTTGCTCTCAGACGCATAGATATCGAGAAAAATACGAATATATGAAAATTTCATGAATTCGATGTTTTTTCAAACTATTGATGGTAGCACTGGGGAATCTGAGCATGCTGCAGAAAAACTTTTCCAACCAAACTTGTAGCAAATTTCATTCTTAACGAAATTGCTATCTTGCATTTTTGCTCTCAGACGCATAGATATTGAGAAAAATATAAAGATTTCATGAATTCGTTGTTTTTTCAATCTGTTGATGCTAGCTAGCACTGGGGAATCTGAGCATGCTGCAGAAAAACTTTTCCAATCAAACATGTAGCAAATTTTATTTTTAACAAAATTGCTCTATTGCACTTTTGCTCTCAGACGCATAGATATCGAGGAAAATACGAAAATATGAAAATTTCATGAATTCGTTGTTTTTTCAAACTGTTGATGGTAGTACTGGGGAATCTGAGCATGCTGCAGAAAAACTTTTCGAACCAAACTTGTAGCAAATTTCATTCTTAACAAAATTGCTCTATTGCACTTTTGCTCTCAGACACATAGATATCGAGCAAAATACGAATATATCAAAATTTCATGAATTCGTTATTTTTTCAAACAATTGATGGTAGCACTGGGGAATCTGAGCATGCTGCAGAAAAACTTTTCTAACCAAACTTGTAACAAATTTCATTCTTACCAAAATTGCTCTCTTGCACTTTTGCTCTCAGACGCATAGATATCGAGGAAAATATGAAAATTTCATGAATTCGTTGTTTTTCAAATTATTGATGGTAGCACTAGGGAATCTAAGCATGCTGCAGAAAAGCTTTTCAAGCCAAACTTGTAGCAACTTTCATTCTTAACAAAATTGTTCTCTTACACTTTTGCTCTCAGACGCATAGATATCGAGGAAAATACGAATATATGAAAATTTCATGAATTTATTGCTTTTTGAACCTGTTGATGGTAGCACTGGGGAATCTGAGCATGCTGCAGAAAAACTTTTCGAACCAAGGTTGTAGCAAATTTCATTCTTAACAAAATTGCTATATTGCACTTTTGCTCTCAAACGCATAGATATAGAGAAAAATACGAATATATGAAAATTTCATGAATTCGGTGTTTTTTCAAACTGTTGATGATAGCACTGGGGAATCTGATCATGCTGCATAAAAACTTTTCCAACCAGACTTGTAGCAAATTTCATTCTTAACAAAATTGCTCTATTGCACTTTTGCTCTCAGACGCATAGATATCGAGGAAAATACGAATATATGAAAATTTCATGAATTCATTGCTTTTAGAACCTGTTGATGGTAGCACTGGGGAATCTGAGCATGCTGCAGAAAAGCTTTTCGAACCAAGGTTGTAGCAAATTTCATTCTTAACAAAATTGCACTATTGCACATTTGCTCTCAGACGCATAGATATCAAGCAAAATACGAATATATCAAAATTTCATGAATTCTTTATTTTTTCAAACAATTGATGGTAGCACTGGGGAATCTGAGCATGCTGCAGAAAAACTTTTCGAACCAAACTTGTAGCAAATTTCATTCTTAACAAAATTGCTCTATTGCACTTTTGCTCTCATACGCATAGATATCGAGGAAAATACGAAAATATGAAAATTTCTTGAATTCGTTGTTTTTCAAATTATTGATGGTAGCACTAGGGAATCTGAGCATGCTGCAGAAAAGCTTTTCAAGCCAAACTTATAGCAACTTTCATTCTTAGCAAAATTGTTCTCTTGCACTTTTGCTCTCAGACGCATAGATATCGAGAAAAATACGAATATATGAAAATTTCATGAATTCATTGCTTTTTGAACCTGTTGATGGTAGCACTGGGGAATCTGAGCATGCTGCAGAAAAACTTTTCGAACCAAGTTTGTAGCAAATTTCATTCTTAACAAAATTGTTCTATTGCACTTTTGCTCTCAGACGCATAGATATCGAGGAAAATACGAAAATATGAAAATTTCATGAATTCTTTGTTTTTCAAATTATTGATGGTAGCACTGGGGAATCGGAGCATGCTGCAGAAAAACTTTTAGAACCAAATTTGTAGCAAATTTCATTCTTAACAAAATTGTTCTCTTGCACTTTTGCTCTCAGACACACAGATATTGAGAAAAATACGAATATATGAAAATTTCATGAATTCGAATTGTTTAATATAAATTAAATATTTTTATCTACAACTATTAAATTATCTATTCGTTATACAATTGATTTTTGACGGGTAATGACACGCATTACTCATGACTGACAAAGTGTTGAATAATGAAGCCATTATTCCACAGTTCTGACACGGCCTACTAATCAAAAAATAAAATATTAACAGAAATGACAGCTTTCTTATATTGAGGTTATGTCTGAAATGTCTATCAAGTTTATTTTTTTTTCCTTTTTTTGATTTTTACTTTCAAAATTAAATATTTGTTGATAAAGTATAGTATTCAACTTGCGTATAATGGATGTTACCCACTCAGATTGCAACTTCATCTTCGTGGGTAACAGCCGCCATTATACGCTTGTTGAATAATATACTATTATCTACAACTATTGAATTATCTAGTCGTTATACACTTGATTTTTGACAGGTAATGACACGCATTACTCATGAGTCATGACTGACAAAGTGTTGAATAATGAAGCCATTATTCCACAGTTCTGTTCTGACACGGCCTACTAATCAAAAAATAAAATATTAACAGAAATGACAGCTTTCTTATATTGAGGTTATGTCTGAAATGTCTATCAAGTTTATTTTTTTTCCTTTTTTTCGATTTTTTTTTCAAAATTAAATAGTTGTAGATAAAGTATAGTATTCAACTTGCGTATAATGGATGTTACCCACTCAGATTGCAACTTCATCTTCGTGGGTAACAGCCGCTATTATACGCTTGTTGAATAAAATACTATTACTGTAGCAAAATGTGTGTTTTAACTATTTTATTAATAATAGCGTAACACTTATTAATACGAACCTGATGTCATAAAATTTATGACACGCGCCCGCTAGTGTTATAAAATCGGGCTCGCCCGCTCAAAGGTTAAGATAAATTTTTCTTTGATGTTGCTAAATGTTTGTGAATGTTAACCGTTGTGAATTGCATGAAAAAATTAGAACGTGGATAAATTGCTTTTTACAGAGGTCGTCTCAAATTTGCCCTACGAGAAGTTGTGATGAAACGAATGAAAAAAAAATATATAAATAGGGGTTCGTAGAACGATGCTTGTGGCTACCTAGCATGTTGGTCGTTTATTATTTTTTGCACGGAATCAACACCTAAATGTATAAATAAAGAAGTATTAAGTTAAAAGTATTTTTTTGAATAAAAAAAATAAATTGTGTTTTTAGAACGTTTTGTGATATAACAATCAAAAGAAATACTTAAATAACATAGACGAACAATTTAATCTTTCATTTTTGATTTTAATTGATGCTAAATCAGCTTAATTAGTGTACAGAAACTTTTTGATTTTAAGAAAATTAAATGTTAGTTAAATTATAATTTTGTCTTATGTAAATTTTATTTAAATAAAAACTTTTTTCAGTTATTTTTTTTTTTAGTTTTATCCCTTTATACACTTTTTATTATTTATCATAACAAATTAAAGGTATGTACATAAATGTGTAAATAAACACTTAATCTTGCTCTTACAATTAGAAATCAAAGCTTAACCCATAAATTTCATTCAAACCAAACTAAATTAATTATTAAACCCCCTTTAAATTTTCTTTATTATCATTTAGGAGGTAAAAATGGGCGCGCAATGAGAGTCTCCAGCTACGATCCCGATGACCCAACGAGCCCCAGCGGGGGCTCACTCCCACATAGTTACAACACGTTGGATTCAAGCGATAGGAATTTCCACAGCGGACCCAAAGTATCAACAATATCTCAAAATTACACTGAGAAAACAACGTTGTTAAGTTCAGATGAAGATAATTAATGAAGCTATTTTTAATAATAAACAAATTTAAGAACAAATCGTTTATAAATGCGCTTAAAGAAGATAAAACATATTTGTGCAATGACGTACTTTAATTATTAATAAAAAAATACTCTATATTAATACATATTTATGAATACTATAAAATATATTTCAAATAAATAAATTGGAGAAAATTTTAAAATGAGGAAAAAGGTACAAGTTTGAATAGCTAAAGTTTTAAAAGGAGAAAAGATGATATTGTAAAATAAAATAAAATGTAATTTGTGTTTTTTAATCGTTGTTATTGTAAAAAAAATGAAGTAACGGGTAACGTAAAGAGAAATAGGAAAGTGTACATGCAAAAAAAAAATTATATATAATATAATAATTAATAAAATCAAATTTGTTTCGGTGCTTTATAAAAAACGGCTTTGTAGATTTTCGTTTTGTAAATGTTTCGTTATTTTATTAACTATTTTTATATGTATACATTCCTCTTAAACAGGTTTTATTTCTTTTTATTATAGATAATATATTTTATTAGTGTCTTAATAAAAAATAATGTTTTTCAAATTGTTTCAAAATTTATTTCAAAACCCAAATTTCTCTTAATGAACAATTAGTCACCGAATTTGAGCCACTCAATGTGTTCTAGATTAGTATTAACTTCTTCACGAAAAAAATTTTTACAATAAAAGTTGTAACAAATTTTATTGTTAACAAAATTGCTCTCTTGCACTTTTCGAATTCGTTGTTTTTTCAAACTGTCGATGTTAGCTAGCACTGGGGAATCTGAGCATGGTTCAGAAAAACTTTTAGAACGAAACTTGTAGCAAATTTCATTCTTAACAAAATTGTTCTCTTGCACTTTTGTTTTCAGACGCATAAATATCGAGAAAAATACGAATATATGAAAATTTCATAAATTCGTTGTTTTTATAAACTGTTGATGGTAGCACTGGGGAATCTGAGCATGCTGTAGAATAACTTTTCGAACGAAAGTTGTAGCAAATTTCATTCTTAACAAAATTGCTCTCTTGCACTTTTGCTCTCAGATACATAGATATGGAGAAAAATACGAATATATGAAAAGTTCATGAATTCGTTGTTTTTTCAAACTGTTGATGGAAGCACTGGGAAATCTGAGCATGCTGCAGAAAAACTTTTCGAACCAAACTTGTAGCAAATTTTATTCTTAACATAATTGCTTTATTGCACATTTGCTCTCAGACGCATAGATATCGAGAAAAATACAAATATACGAAAATTTCATTAATTCGTTGCTTTTTCAAACTATGGCAGCGCTGGGGAGACTGGGCATGCTACAGAAAATTTTCTCGAACCAAACTTGTAGTAAATTTCATTCTTAACAAAATTTCTCTCTTGCACTTTTGCTCTCGCACGCATAGATATCGAGAAAGATACGAAAATATGAAAATTTCACGAATTCGCTATTTTTTCAAACTGTTGATGGTAGCACTAGGGAATCTGAGCATGCTGCAGAAAAACTTTTCAAACCAAACTAGTAGCAAATTCCATTCTTAACACAATTGCTCTTATGCACTTTTGCTCTCAGACGCATAGATGTCGAGAAAAATACGAATATACGAAAATTTCATGAATTCGTTATTTTTTCAAACTGTTGATGGTAGCACTGGGGAATCTGAGCATGCTGCAGAAAAACTTTTAGAACGAAACTTGTAGCAAATTTCATTCTTAACAAAATTGCTCTCTTACACTTTTGCTCTTATACGCATAAATATCGAGAAAAATACGAAAATATAAAAATTTCATTAATTCATTGTTTTTTCACACTACGGCAGCAGTGGGGAATCTGAGCATGCTGCAGAATAACGTGTCGAACCAAACTTGTAGCAAATTTCATTCCTAACAAAATTGCTTTCTTGCACTTTTGCTCTTATACGCATAGATACAGAGAAAAATAGGAAAATATAAAAATTTCATTAATTCGTTTTTTTTTCAAACTATGGCAGCAGTGGGGAATCTGAGCACGCTGCAGAATAACTTGTCGAACCAAACTTGAAGCAAATTTCATTCTTAACAAAATTGCTCTCTTGCACATTTGCTCTCAGACGCATAGATATCGAAAAAAATACAAATATATGAAAATTTCATTAATTCGTTGTTTTTTCAAACTATGGCCGCACTGGGGAGACTGGGCATGCTACAGAAAAACTTCTCGAACTAAACTTGTAGTAAAATACATTCTTAACACAATTGTTCTCTTGCACTTTTGCTCTCAGACACATAGATATTGAGAAAAATACGAATATATGAAAAGTTCATTAATTCGTTGTTTTTTCAAACTATGGCCGCACTGGGGAGACTGGGCATGCTACAGAAAAACTTCTCGAACCAAACTTGTAGCAAATTTCATTGTTAACAAAATTGCTCTCTTGCAGATTTGCTCTCAGATGCATAGATATCGAAGAAAATACGAAAATATGAAAATTTCATGAATTCGTTATTTTTTCAAACTGTTGATGGTAGCACTGGGGAATATGAGCATGCTGCAAAAAAACTTTTCGAACCAAACTTGTAGCAAATTTCATTCTTAACAAAATTGCTCTATTGCACTTTTGCTCTCAGCCGCATAGATATCGAGAAAAATACGAAAATATGAAAATTTCATGAATTCGTTGTTTTTTCAAACTGTTGATGGTAGCACTAGGGAATCTGAGCATGCTGCAGAAAAACTTTTCGAACCAAACTTGTAGCAAATTTCATTCTTAACAAAATTTCTCTCTTGCACTTTTGCTTTCGCATGCATAGATATCGAGAAAAATACGAAAATATGAAAATTTCATGAATTCGTTGCTTTTTCAAACTGTTGATGGTAGCACTAGGGAATCTGAGCATGCTGCAGAAAAACTTTTCAAACCAAACTAGTAGCAAATTCCATTCTTANTCGAGGAAAATACGAATATATGAAAATTTCATGAATTCATTGCTTTTAGAACCTGTTGATGGTAGCACTGGGGAATCTGAGCATGCTGCAGAAAAGCTTTTCGAACCAAGGTTGTAGCAAATTTCATTCTTAACAAAATTGCACTATTGCACATTTGCTCTCAGACGCATAGATATCAAGCAAAATACGAATATATCAAAATTTCATGAATTCGTTATTTTTTCAAACAATTGATGGTAGCACTGGGGAATCTGAGCATGCTGCAGAAAAACTTTCCGAACCAAACTTGTAGCAAATTTCATTCTTAACAAAATTGCTCTAATGCACTTTTGCTCTCAGACGCATAGATATCGAGAAAAATACGAAAATATGAAAATTTCATGATATTGTTGTTTTTTGAAACTATTGATGGTAGCACTGGGGAATCTGAGCATGCTGCAGAAAAACTTTTCGAACCAAACTTGTAGCAAATTTCATTCTTAACAAAATTGCTCTATTGCACTTTTGCTCTCAGAGGCATATATATCGACAAAAATACGATAATATGAAAATATGACAAATTCGTTTTTTTTTCTACTTATTAATGGCAGCACTGGGGAATCTGGGCATGCTACAGAAAAACTTTTCTAACCAAACTTGTAGCAAATTTCATTCTTAACAAAATTGCTCTCTTGCACTTTTGCTCTTATACGCATAGATATCGAGAAAAATACGAAAATATAAAAATTTCATTAATTCGTTGTTTTTTCAAACTATGGCAGTACTGGGGAATTTGAGCATGCTGCAGAAAAACTTTTCCAACCAAACATGTAGCAAATTTTATTCTTAACAAAATTGCTGTCTTGCACTTTTGCTCTCAGACACATAGATATCGAGAAAAATACGAAAATATGAAAATTTCATTAATTCGTTGTTTTTTCAAACTATGGCATTAGTGGGGAATCTGAGCATGCTGCAGAAAAACTTTTCGAACCAAACTTGTAGCAAATTTCATTGTTAACAAAATTGCTCTATATCACTTTTGCTCTCAGACGCATATATATCGAGAAAAATACGATAATATGAAAATATGACAAATTCGTTGTTTTTTCTAATTATTGATGGCAGCACTGGGGAATCTGGGCATGCTACAGAAAAGCTTTTCGAACGAAAGTTGTAGCAAATTTAATTCTTAACAAAATTGCTCTTTTTCACTTTTGATCTTGGATGCATAAATATCGAGAAAAAGTAAAAATGTGAAAATTAGATAATTCGTGGTGCATGCTTTTAATGATAACGCTTAGCATTCAGTGCATATCACAATTAAACTTTTAGAATGAAAGTTGTAGCAAATTTTATTCTTAGTTCTCCTTTATACTTTAGGTGCGAGATTGGGCTTTCTGGATACTTCAACTATTCCTATCTCTCGCCTTATTTTTGACCGCCGTTCATGTCCTCTTTTTTCAAAACGTCAGATTGTTTTTGTTCATTTTTCCAGGTGTCCAAACCATCTAAATTCCCTTTTATTTGTTATTATTATTGTCTTGCTCTTATTTCATCGTCCCTTATTAGTCCATCTTCATTTCCATAACAATAATCTTTGATTTAATCCTTTGTAAAAGCATTCATGATTCGTCTCCGTAGATATTAAATAATTTAAATGTTCTGTTTCCAGATTTCCATTATTATCCAATATCGTTCTTAGATATTTAAAACTTTTTGTTGTCTTGAGTGTAAATAAGTCTATGTTAATCTGTATAATCCTCTCTCTCATCTCGCTACAGCCATTACTTTAGTTTTATTAAAATCAATTTGTAACCAGTATTATTGGTTTCCTCTTCCACATCTACAGACTTCATCCATAACTGAGATGAACTGTATCAGCCCATAAAAAAAGTAAATTTATCTACAAATTTATCATCACAATAATAAATTCGCAGGCATTGAAACATAAAGTGCATTATTGAACCAAACCAGACGTTATTGACTATCTTAAAAGTCCAGAGGATAGTTACAAAATGAAAGATATCTTGGTCACTTCAAACGTCTACAAGATTACCCTCTACGCAAACTATTTACGAAAGCATTTGATTGAGTAAATTAGAAAAAGAAGTGACACGCAGAGAAACTTGATTATGGACGAAATAATAATTGACGTGAAAACAGCAGGAAGATTTTATCCGCATTTCCAGAGATATTAAAGGATTATATTGAACAAAAAAATGGTTGATTTTCAAATATAATCTCAATTTTAGCTTATCACCAAAACATTGTTGTTTCGAGTAACGCAGTAACCACTCTAACTGATAAATTTCGATGTTTTGCCCTCTATTTAAAGCGATAGTGTACGTGCTATTGCAACGGCAAGCACATAAATCCGACTTAAAACTTAATTTACAACCATAATAAACTCGAAAACTCTCTAATTGTACACACAGACTCAGAAAACATTTAAACACGAAACAAAACCAGTAATTTTTTTATGTATTTTATTAAAAGCACTTCTTTAACATGTTGTAAACCAACCGTAAACCCTAAAACCCTAACCCATTGTTAAAATGTGTGGGATAAATGACAAAAACACATAATTTAATGATTATATTATCGCTATTGTTGATGAGTTTCGTGGGTTATTCAAATTTAAATTTACTCGTTTTAAAACAAAGTATTTTATTGTATTTGTATTCCAAATTTCGTTCGAAATACTATTTCAAGATATAGATTAAAAAAAATTCTATATCTCTTATCATGAAAAGAAAAAAACACGTAATCAATAAAACTTGTTTACTCTAATCTTTTAAATTCCATTTCATTCGTCATATGAGTATGATTTAACAGGTAAAATTTGATAAAAATATTACAAAAAATTTTTTTTTAAATTAATTTGACGTTTAAACGTCAAACAAAATGACATTAAACCTAAAAAAAAATGACATTTAAGAAATTACATTTTAAATATTAATTCGAATTAATATTATAATAAATTAATTTAGATTACAAGAATCTTATCGAATCTAATCAATATCGTAACAATATTAAATCAAAATAATAATTAATTTAATAATTCGATTAAAATCACATTTTTAGTTCTATTTTTATTTTATAGAGGGTGCTGTAATTATTTTTATTTGCCGTAAAAAAAAAAAAATTTTTAATTTTAACCATTAAATTTGTAAAGAGTAATTAAAAAATTAAAAGTAAATCTCTAATTGAATAGAAACACTTAATGCTTTATAATTTCGGTTTGTGTATGATTCAACAAAATCAACAAAAAAAATTTACCCAAACAGCCTTCGACGTAAAGCGGACGGAGAGGAGGTTTTGAAACGTGAATTTAACGTGGATTCCGCGATTTACGGTGGTGGGGGCCCCCATCCGCGGTTCGCTTATTAACTTCAAGCCTTAAAATAAGCGCGTATTTTGACTGATAGTTATGTAGTGTCGAGATAACCTCAAAATTAAAAGAACCCCATAACGTTACGAATATGTTGCAAGGATATGGACCCGTTATGCAAGCCTTCATGGGGACACTCATGACGTGGGGTCTCACAGCTGCCGGGGCTTCTTTAGTTATTTTTATTAAAGGGACAAGAGTAAGTAATAACATAACCTCACTTTTTTTAATTGTCATAAATGACGTTTAATGACGTTTATAATAATATTAAAATTTAAATAATTAAATTAATTTTTTTTAGAGAAAATTTCTCGATGCAAGTTTGGGGTTTGCAGCTGGCGTGATGATAGCGGCATCGTATTGGTCTCTATTATCACCGGCTATTGAAATGGCTGAGAAATCGCAGAAATACGGTGAAAATGGGGAATACGCTTTCATTCCTGTAGCGATAGGGTTCTTGCTTGGTGCTGTTTTTGTATTCTTAGCTGATAAGTTAATATCTAAATTAGGATCGCATTCGCACAACATGATGTTGGGTAAATAAAATTTTATTTGGTGTAAACATTGGTTACGAAATTTTTTCATTTTTAGCTCTACATAATTCGTCAACACGCAAAGAAGAATCGAAACGTAACTCAAAAATCTCAACCGTAGATTCAGCAACTGTCGATTTTACTGAAACAACTGTAACAACGACGTTTCGACGGAGAGGTGAGTGTATAAAGCTTTAGTTTCTTTGTTGTCGTCGTTTTGTATGTGCGTTTCGCCTCAAATGCTTTGGGAACAATTTAAGAATCGTTATGTGGCTTAAAAATCGACGTTTTTTTTTTAATCAATGTGAAATAACCTAAAAAACATGTCAAAAATAAAAAGAAAGCGCGAAAAAGTGTAGAACATACCAAAAAATCACATTAAAGTTTCACAAGCAATGTTAACCATGCATTTTTTTAAATTAAATCGGTCAATATCTACCCTACAAATTGTTTATTTTATACCCATGCACAAAATCAATCTGATAAACTTAAAAGTAAAGTTATTTTCACTAAACTAGGTGAGATTACAACGCATATTTTCGGATGAAATATCCTTGTTTTTCTTAGACTTTTGATGCATAACGGCTGACTACCTATCGTTAGATAGACTGTGTGTCAATAGACTTTGTGTTAATACTAGAACTAACACTAGACCGAAAACTAGAACCATTCTAGAACCATGATTCTAGTTCTGGGTCTTGTTTTAGTTCTAGTGATAGTTCTAGTCCAAAACTAAAACTAACACTAGATCTAGAACTAGAAACATTGGATTTTAGCACCACGTCTCTGAAGACGGCTAAAATCGAATGATTCTAGTTCTAGGTCTTGTGTTAGTTCTAGTAACAGTGTTAGTGTAAAACTAGAACTAACACAAGATCTAGAACTAGAATCATTCGGGTTTAGCCGTCTTGAAAGACGTGCGGCTAAACCCGAATGTTTCTAGTTCTAGGTCTAGTGTTAGTTCTAGTTTTAATTGTTATGCAGCGCTAGACCAAGAACTAGAATCATTCGGGTTTAGTCGTCTTTAGAGACGTGCGGCTAAACCCAAATGATTCTAGTTCTAGGTATAGTGTTAGTTCTACATAGTAACAGTGCTAGTGTAAAACTAGAACTAACACTAGACCTAGAACTAGAAAGTTTTCCGTTAGAACTAGAATGTGTCTTTAGACGCACGGCTAAACCTGAATGTTTCTAGTAGTCTAGTGTTAGTTCTAGTTTTAATTCAATAACAATACACAACCTAAGGCTATCTACTATCCGTGCAAAAAGTCAAGGCCCCTCACTTTAGTGATCGATATCTTCGTAACCGCTCGAGGGAAAAAATTGCGGTAAGGTTTATTGTAATCAGTGAACATTTCTGCGTATTACATGTTAATTTGAAAATTTTCGGGTCCACGGTTTTTCTTTTATCGCGGGTTAAGTGAAAAAACTACTCGATTTTTGAGAGTGCCAGCAACTTTGTCTACTTTACGATTTTTTTTCTCCAAAACTATTTGATGAAAAAATTTCAAAGTTGAACTGATGGTAAACCGTTGTGTTCTTAATGTGGGGCATATTTTATTTTTTCGATATTCCATATAGTTTCCCTGAAAATCGTGGTTTAGTAGGATGTGGTTATTTCGAAAACGACCTGGCGGATTAAAACTCGGTTTTTACCAAAATATGTCAAATAATGTCGGTTGTCGGATTCCATTATCAGTTTTTCAAAATTAGGGCTTCCTAATTTTTTAAGAGCGATTTAATGGAATGATAAATTAAAGAGAAACAAAAGTAAATTCTACGGGGAGAGGAGGGTTCCGTCCAATCGGAACAGATGGTATGTCCCAGACAGTACGTCGCGCCTTTATCTTACCTACATAAAGAAATAAGGCGCGACGTCCTGTCTGAGACGCACCATCTGTTCCGATTGGACAGAAGCCCCGGCACCCCGCAGAGCTTATTTCTGTTTCTCTTTAATTTGCAATTCCATTAAATCGCTCTTCAAAAATTAGGGAACTCTAATTTTGAAAAACTATTAACGGAATCCGACAACCGACATTATTTGATATATTTTGATCAAATCCGCAAGGAAATTCACCCAGCCACTTCCGCAAAAATGTATGGAATATCGAAAAAATAAAATATGCCGCTCATTAAGAACACATCAGGCTACCACCTGTTGAAAAATCAAATTTTTTAGTATGATAGTTTTCGAGAAAAAAAATCGCAAAATTGACAAAGTTGCCGGTACCGTAAAAAATCGGGTTCTTTTTTCGTTTAACTCGCGATAAAAAGAAAATCGGAGATCCGAAAATTTTCAAATTAACATACGTTACGTAGAAATGTTCAGTGATTACAACAAACTTTGTCGCATTTCGATCTCTAAATTGAGGGGCCTTGACTTTTTGCACGGATAGTAGTGCCAACTAGCGCTATTTAGAACTGTCCCTAGAACTAACACTAGACCGAAAACTAGAAACAATCGGATTTTGTCGCACGTCTCTCAAGACGGATAAACCCGAATGATTCTAATTCTGAGTCTTGTTTTAGTTCTAGTGATAGTTCTAGTAACAGTGTTAGTGTAAAATTAGAACTAACACAACATCTAGAACTAGAATCATTCGGGTTTAGCCGTCTTAAGAGACGTGCGACTAAACCCGAATGTTTCTAGTTCTAGGTCTTGTGTTAGTTCTAGTTTTAATTGTTATGCAACGCTAGACCAAGAACTAGAATCATTCGGGTTTAGTCGTCTTTAGAGACGTGCGGCTAAACCCAAATGATTCTAGTTCTAGGTATAGTGTTAGTTCTACATAGTAACAGTGCTAGTGTAAAACTAGAACTAACACTAGACCTAGAACTAGAAACATTGGGGTTTAGCAGCAGGTCTCTCAAGACGGCTAAACCCGAATGGTTCTAGTTCTAGGTCTTGTGTTAGTTCTAGTGCAAAACTAGACCTAACGCCAAGGTTTATAGAACATAAGGTTACCTAATTCCCTATGCCTCTGTAGTATCGATTATTACCCCGCAGATTGACGTCACTGGTTCGATACAGTCTGAATAAAAGATAGCCTAAAGCATAACACCACATTACACTTAAAAATAACGACGCAGATTCATTTAAATAAAAACGTTTACTAGAAAATCAACACGCTAATTATCACAAGAGACATTGAAAATAAATCGACGAGATTCGAAGGTTCCTGAAGATGGTTTTGTAGATGAACCGAAACCGGTAGAATTTAAAACAATTAATCCATTTTTAACAAAAATTCAAACAGAAAAAATATTTTACTTTATTTAATTAACTTCATGTTTAAAATGCCAACCTCAATTTTGACATATTTGTAATCTTCATTAAATAACCTTTAAAATAAGTACAAACACGACATATTTATCTTCAATACTAATAAAGTTATGGTCAACTTCCGGTTAGAAATGTCAACGTCAATTTTAACATATTTGTAATCGTCGTGAAAATATAATAACAAAAATCGAACATTAAGGTTGATATTAATATTTAAAAATTAAATTGCTATCTTCATTGTTGCTAACTTCGGATTTAATGTTTTTTATTCTAACTTTTTTGTTTTTTGAGATAACTGCGTCTTGTCTGGACTCATTTTAAAGGTTTTTTTTAATAAAGAATACATCATGAAATAACACCATGAAGTTGTCCATTTGTCTATTATATGACAACTAACTTCAGGTTTAAAATGTCAACCTCAATTTTGACATGTTTGTAATCTTCATTAAAAAACCTTTAAAATGAATACAAACACGACATATTTATCTTCAATATTAAAAAAGTTATGGTCTACTTCCGGTTAGAAACGTCAATGTCAATTTTGACATATTTGATATTTTGATATATTCTTGATTTTTATAAAATGTCTTAAAATTTGTCGCAAAAACGAAAATATAATAAAAAAAATCAAGAATTAAGGTTGGTATTAATATTTAAAAATTAAATTGCTATCTTCATTGTTGCTAACTTCGGATTTAATGTTTTTTATTCTAACTTTTTTGTTTTTTTGAGATAAGTGTGTGATGTTTGGACTCATTTTAAAGGTTATTTTATGAAGATTACGAATATAATAAGAAAATTAAAGTTGACATTTTGTTGTTTAACGTTAGATTGTGGTATATTTTTATTGAAAGAAAAGTAGAACTAACACTAGACCTAGAACTAGAAACATTCGGGTTTAGCCGCACGTCTCTCAAGACGGCTAAACCCGAATGGTTCTAGTTCTTGGTCTTGTGTTAGTTCTAGTGATAATGTTAGTGTAAAACTAGAACTAAAAACATTCAAGGTTAATGTTTTTTATTCTCTTTTTTGCTTTTTGAGAGATATGTTTGGACTCATTTTAAAGGTTTTTTTAATAAAGAATACATCCTGAAATAACACCATGAAATTGTCCATTTGTCTATTATATGACAACTAACTTCAGGTATAAAATGTCAACCTCAATTTTGACATATTCGTAATCTTCATTAAAAAACCTTTAAAATGAATACAAACACGACATATTTATCTTCAATATTAATGAAGTTATGATCAACATCCGGTTAGAAATGTCAACGTCAATTTTGACATATTTGTAATCGTCGTGAAAAAATCCTTTAAAGTGAGCCCAAACGTGTTACGTTTAATTCCAATATTATTCGAGTTATAAGCAATTTCTGGTTTGAAATGTCAACGTCATTTTCATATATTCTTAATTTTTATAAAATGTCTTAAAATTTCTCACAAAAACGAAAATATAATTAAAAAAATTAAAAATTAAGGTTGGTATTAATATTTAAAAATTAAATTGCTATCTTCATTGTTGCTAACTTCGGGTTTAATGTTTTTTATTCTAACTTTTTTGTTTTTTGAGATAAGTGCGTCATGTTTGGACTCATTTTAAAGGCAATTTTATAAAGATTACGAATATAATAATAAAATTACAGTTGTCATTTTGTTGTTTAACGTTAGGTTGTGTGTAACAATAATAAACAAATCAAAAAACATAAAAAATTATCGTTGCTTATATAAATAAAAATATAATCATTAACGAAGTAGTAACGATCTCTCCACACCCACACCCCACAAGAAACGTCTGAAAACAGTCAAAGAAACATTAAAGATGTCAATATTCCTACAGTAATCTAGTGATCAGTTCTAGTGATAATGTTAGTGTGAAACTAGAACTAAAAATATTCAAGGTTAATGTTTTTTATTCTCTTTTTTGTTTTTTGAGAGATATGTATCATGTTTGGACTCATTTTAAAGGTTCTTTAATGAAGTCCATTTGTCAATTATATGACGACTAACTTCAGGTTTAAAATATAATAAAAGAAATCAAAAATTAAGGTTGGTATTAAATTGGTTGGTAAAAATTAAATTGCTATCTTCATTGTTGCTAACTTCGGGTTTAATGTTTTTTATTCAAACTTTTTTGTTTTTTGAGATAAATGTGTCATGTTTGGACTCATTTTAAAAGTTATTTTATAAAGATTATGAATATAATAAGAAAATTAAAGTTGACGTTTTGTTGTTTAACGTTAGATTGTGGTATATTTTTATTAAAAGAAAAGTAGAACTAACACTAGACCTAGAACTAGAAACATTCGGATTTAGCCGTACGTCTTGTGATAGTTCTAGTGATAGTGTAAAACTAGACATAACTAAGACCTAGAACTAGAAAGTATAGGGTTCAATTCAACCCGGAATTTATAACCCTCTGCTGCTCCATGCCCAACCCAATATTTGAGAAATTCACACTGGTTTAAATGTTAACTCAAAGTGGAATTTCTACACAAAATTCTGAAATAAATCAGTAAATTAGGTGGATAGGAATGTAACGTTTAAAGAGAATAGATTAATAGATATTAGGTTATCTTTAATTTATGAAAATCTAAAAAGTAATCGTATTTCACCCGAAAATATGCGTTTTAACCAAATGTGCTGCGAAAATATATGGTCGATGACGTCACGTCGAAACTTTAAAGTGATTTTTCGTAAAGACGACTTTTTTTTTTATTTATAACGGCTTACTTGAGTGATTTCTCGTCGATTAAAAACGAAATTGTCGATTTTTAAGCGACATGATGATTCTTGAATTATACCAAGCTTCGCACTAAATTCAAGAGTGAATAGTTTTTTTTTTAATTCTTTTATTGATTAATTATTCTAATACTACTTACTGGCTATATTAACCCCCGCGTCCGCTATGTAGGAAGAATTAAGCATACTAACGAAGATGATACAATAGTTGATTCTCAGACTTATGAGGAGAACATTGAGGAAATTCAACATGGACAATGGAAAAGGATCATGTTACTCGTCGTTGCAATAACCGTTCATAATATTCCGGAAGGTTTAGCTGTCGGAGTTGGTTTTGGAGCTGTTGGAAGTTCAACATCGGCAACATTTGAAAGTGCTAGGTGAGTAAAAACTAATCGACATTGACTTTATTGAAACTATTACATTACGTAATTGGGTTTTTAAATTAATATATGATTTATATTGATTAAAAAAAAATTGTTTTTAAAAATCGGTTAAAAATCCTTGAATAAATTAGTTTTAATTTTAACATATTAATATGATATATCTTGATAATTTTGTTTTGTTATTCTTTGCGTAATAGTTTAGTTTGGAAAAACAAATCCCCCGAATTCCGATTAAAGGTTGATTTGTTTTTGTTATTGATGAACTGGTTTTCTATTTTGCGATTTTACGTCGATCTTGGCCAGGTATAGGACCGCGGGTAAATAACCAACCTTGAATTTGCGGGGAGGAAAAACGGGCGCTTAATGTGTCTAGGTGATAACGAGGAAAGTGGAAATAAAGTGCCCAAAAAAAAAACGTTTATTTACGTTGAATTTTGTTGTAACACTATTTAAATACGCGATATGCAAAGGAAGTTGTTTTTGTCTTTATTTTTACACTATTTCATTTTAAATTAATTCTCTTTAAATTTTTCATTTTTTTTCCAATGCATTTTATTCGTTCATCGACCAGATTATTTCGAGTTTCTTTGGAGTCAATTAATTCGACCTTGCTTTTGTATCAAACAATTCCAGTTAATATAACATTCTTAGACATCAACGTGGTGAAATATTTGACTTTTTTTTCGTTGACGAAGAAAAAAGCCGATACGCATTTTAAAATAGTACAGCTTACCGATTATTTATGTTGCATAAGTTTATTTTTCGATTACTAAATGCTTTTACACTGCAAATTTATTATTATAAATTATACTGGGCGTTTTTATTCCTAATTTTATTCCTTGTTAAGTAATTTTCTTGTGAAATCTTTGTTTCATAGAAAAATTGTTGCGTTTGAATTATTATTAAAATAACTACTTATAAATTAGTAGTTAATAGATTTTCATATTTCTTATGATTAGGTTGTTTTCGACTATTTACACAACTGCCTCAACGAAACAATTGTTAGGTTCGGATGGAACGGATAGTGATTTTGCGAAAAGCCAAGTTATACCCTACATTGCCACAGTATTGCGATATTTGAATAAAAATGAAATTAATAAGACAGCTTATTATTATTAGATATGTCAAATTATTTGGATCAAAGATAAAAAATGAACTTTTTTGATGTTTTGATGAAAATTGTAACATCGAAAATTTTATCAATAATAATAAATATATTGTTTTCTCAAAAACTAACGAGAACACTTTTATTAACACTTGTCGATTATTTCAAAAATTTATTTCTGAAGAACTAAAACTGATTTTTCAAAACGGCTTTTTGCATTAAAAAGAGGATACTTTTATTAATAATTGGTAATATTTCCACAAGGATCCTTCAAGAAATTAATTTTATAGCGAATTTTGAAAATTATTGATATAAATTGCAACATCAAACATTTTTTCAAAACTTCAAATATTGTTTTCTCAAAAACTAAAAGTTATTTTTCAAAACGGGTTGGATCATTGAAAAGAGGACACTTTTTCTCAAAAACTAAAAGTTATTTTTCAAAACGGGTTGGTTCATTGGAAAGAGGACACTTTTATTAGCACTTTGGGAAATTTTCATACTTATATTCCAAGAAATAGGTTTTATACGAATTTTTAAAATTTAATCGGCGAAAATTGCAAAATTCGAAAAAATTGTCGATTATTCCAAAAATTTATTTCTCAAAAACTAAAAGCGATTTTTCAGAACGGCTTGTTGTATTGAAAAGAGGATACTTTAATTAATAATCGAAAGTGATAACAGCAACAGTTCTGTTAGTAATGAATGTGATAATGAATTACAAGCGAAGAGAACGAAACTAGACTAAACTGCAACAAGAGATTTTATATATCGTATTGGGATTGTTACAATGAGGTTGATAAAGACAAACCTGATATAAATAAAGTTGTATTCAATGAAAAGGGTATATTGCTATTAAAAAATGAGCTTTTCTGTTTGTTTTCATGTCGATCGTCTATAAAGAGCGTTCTAATTTATTTTTACCCTCAAGTTTACTCTATTACGTCGGCAACATAGCTGCCTTAATTTCCAAATAACATGTTGGTATTAAGAAATAAACTTTATTTTCTATTTTTCGAGTATTTGCTGCTCTGGCAAGTAAATAACAGATTCGTCTATAAAAAACAGTTTCAATTTCGCCTAATCTTTAAAGAAAATTTTAAAAAATATTTAGTTAACGCTAGATATAAGCTTTACTGTCTATTTTTCAAGAATTTGGGCCTCTCCTTCAACTGCATCAGCTGGCTAAGAGCTGGCTCAAACATAACTGGCTTCAAAGAACAATTTTAATATCATTTTATTTTGAAATACACTCTACTGCCTCGGCCTCTATATAATATGTTCGTAACTATAATCAATCACTTTACATCTAAATAACATTAAAGTTTATTGATGTGACAAGAAATAAGTGTAAGCATGAATAATTTTATAAAAAAAATCTACAAAAAAACTTTTGAGTATATGTTATACGTCTTAATAACGTTTATTAAATTACTTTCTTTTCACCTTCGATCCGTCCTTGATTTTTACATAAAAACGAAGAAATTCTCTTGGTACCGATAGATAGGTTGCGGTTATATTAATAAACAAATAATCGCTACCTGGAATAATCTGGAATATATAAGTTATTTTTATCTTAGGTTTTTTTGTTTACACGGTTTCATCATAAAAATCTATTTAATATACATCACTCGCACTAATATACATAATTCTCTGGTTAGAGTTAAATCAATAATATCAAAGTTATCCAAGATTCTTTATTCAACTTGTAATTAAATTATAATTTTTTTTGTAACAATTCTTTTCGGATGTCGATAATTATTTATCGAACAATTAGTATGCAAACTTGGCATTAATGGTTCTGTGGCATTGAACGAATACTAAACTTATCTGTGTCGACCTTTTTTTTGCCTTCTATTACGAATACTGCATATTCTGGAATGTAAATGTAATAGCCCAGTTTTTAAATACTTATTTAATATTAATAAAGTTATATAATATATAATATTATATTATAATGAAGTTATATATATATTTATATCTTGTTTATAGCACCATCTATAATCAATATAATATATATATATATATATCTTTGTCGATAAACAAGCAATCTGTCTTTTTTAAATGCTTTATAATTTTTCTTATATAATATAGAAAAAAATATATTAAATTTATACAAATATTTTATAAAAATATAAATAATATATATTTATATAATATATGTATTTATATCGTGTTTATAGCACCATCTATAATCAATATAACATATATATCTTTGTCGATAAATAAGCAATCTGTCTTTTTCAAATGTTTTATAATTTTTTTTGTTGAATAGTTGTTGTTTAGCTTATGGTTAAGAGATGGCGTTACCTTTCGATTATTCTGCAAACTCCGATGTAGGTATCGTGGTAGGAGGTCTTTCGTTGTGTATGAATGAACTGAGAGAGGTCTGGTAGAGGCACAACATGGGGGCCTGGAATCCGAGTTTCGCCCCGGGCGCCGACATTCCTTCGCGCAAGACGCCTGACCTCAGAGACGGAGTAAAAGAAAAAAGATTAAAACCGAAAGACAAGGAAAACATTCCGTTCCCTTCCTTTTTATTAATTTACTTCGTTTATTCAAATTATTAATAATATATCAAATTATAAGTACATGTATGTATATATAAATGGTGTTCGTTCAATATCCGGTAGATATTTGAGATACAGTTCGTTCCCGTTATGTTTACGGACGCTCTCTAACGCTAATTGAATTACTACTCTTGTTTTGGGTTGTTTGGCCGGCAATTTACAGGTTTTCTAAATTCCTTTCGTAATTATCAAGGCGGTGACTTCTTTTTTCTGTTTTTTTATGACTCCCATTTTGTGGAGAATGAAAAATCTTTTAAAACGAGTACAAACACGGCGGGGTCTATTTTTCAAAATAATTGAGATATAATCGGAAATTATTTAAAATAATTTGTTTCGCATTGTTAGATATTCCCAAGAGTTTATTTTATAATAATATAATATTTACAATGATGATTATGGGTCGTTTTCTTCCCGTGCGAGTTTTGATGCGGCCTTAAAACACATTTTTATACTAAGCTTATAATTAATAATGTTCTTCTTGAGAAAATGTTGTTATTAATATATTATAACGTTTAATTATTTGCTCTGGCGACGAAGACGACTACGACGATGTCGATGTCGACGTCGACGTTGAACGAACGTGCGCGAACACATCCCGGTACTAATTAGTGCCTCGAGTTTTCTTTAAATTAGTTTGATTTCGAGATAAGATTGCGTTCGTCGAGCAATTGCTACATTAATTGGTCGCGGATGCAATTTTTACTGTCGATTACAGATCTAGTTGAAAATGATAAATTATCGCAATTACGAAACGTTTATATACTTCTATATAGATTTGTATACATTTATTTTTACGTACATTTGCATTGAAAAAGGATTTATTATTTGTTCTTTGAGTTGTTGATCAACTGCCTCAGCAGCACAGCTGCCTCGGCCACTCAATAACAAAATCGAATTTAACTATACTTTATTTCTTGGCCAAAATGGTTTTCTGTTTATTTCTTAAGTAGTCACTCTATTGATAATTGTGATAATCAATATTACATTGGCATCAAAGTTTGTTCTTTGAATACTTGATCATTTGCTTTTTGGCCACAATGGTTGCCTCAGATTCTATCTAGATGGCAACATAGTATAAAAACATTTCTATTTATTTTTTAATGCTCTCTTTTTAAGTACTAGTGAGGCATTTTGAGTTTCCTCGGCAATTTAATAATAAAATCGAATACAACAAAAATGTTAACTATCTTTTTTCTAATTTGAAGTCAAAAAAAAAATTTGAATGTATAAGAATAATATTTTTCTTCAATAATCGGTTTCCCAGTTTCCTTAATAATAATCTCCTCTTTCCTATCGGCACGTTTTCTTATCGTCCACCC